ATAACCATTTTGAAGTTCAAAATTAAAATTATGACTATATAATGTTGGGAATAAAACAAGTAACCATTCTACTGGCATATGGACAAATTTTTTTTTTTAATCAATCAAATTCTTCAATTCAAATGCAAACAATTACAACGGAAATACATAATATTGAACATATCCGATATGCGAGCCAAATAGCAAGATAACTAAAGCAAACAAAGCGCTGAAAGAATAGATACACAAACTCATTAATGTTTGATAATCTGTGAGAAGAGTTGTCGAAAAGACCAAGTATGAGGAATATCAAGAGAGAAACAATTCTCGATCCCACTCTTTTAAATAACATGAAGATAATCACTTTAACTTGTGACTTGAGACATAATCCAAAACTCGGATTTCACCGGAATGAGATCTGTTGCATCTTCGGTCCCGTGTAGACCTTCATATAAGATTATGAGGCAGTTAAGTAATTGAACATTTTATTTGAAGTTGAATCCATAAGAAATACACCTGTAGTAAAGAGGGAATTTGAATGGAAGGATCTCTCTTCCAAGGAAGAGGAATAGAAGGTGCAAATGATCTCTCTCCGTCCCGACCAGGAGAATTTTTTATAGTAATCTCACTAGTAGAGAAGATTAAGGGACTTCAAATGACAAGTTTGGCACATATCTAATCTGGGATTGATATGGAAGAAGAGCTTGTGAATGGGCAAAATCCAGACATCATCACCACGAACATAGAAGCTGGCGGAGAATTTGTGGTTCAATAGATGAGGTGCAGAGGCGAATACAAGCTTCCGCAATAGTGAAAAGTAAAGAGGTTCTTCAGGATTTCAATGAGAGGGTTCTAGATCACACGAATTCGAGAGAGCACATAGATACCAACAGATCTGAGCGGGAGCGAAGAACAGAGGCATACTCGACGGACCAAGAGGATGGAGGAGCAGTTTTGTGGAAGAGAATCTAGAGGGACATGTGGATATGGAGGATCTAGCGGTGTGGGACGCTCCGGTGGCTCTAACGAAGATAAGACACAATTTTGAGCAAAAGACGAAAACGGAACTGACGCCTTTAAGATATGAAACCTCTCCTGTAGAAAAGTAACCTTCAAATAAGAGACAAGAGCCATGGAAGCAAAAATAAGACGCTGGCGAGACAAAAACCTTGAAGAAACGATGGAGAAATTTTCTTCCCCTATAGAGAGAGGGTCCTTCGGGAGAACAGAGGGAGTTCCCGAGAGAAAAGACATGGATGCTTCTTAAGGATGAAAGTTTGTGAGGATCCGAAAAAAAAGAAGCCATTTTGAATGGTGGTTTTGCTTGCGGCGGTCACCTTGGTTCTTGTGCCCGAGAGAGAACTAGGGCGACATCGCATATGGACAAAATTATCCTTCTTTTATGCATGTGAAAATTTTTTCTCTGGATGATGACATCATAAGGCGCTGAAGAGAGGTCAAAGTTGACATCATCGTATCTTTATTTACTAAGGTAAATAATGAATTATATTAATTAAAAATATATTTTGTTAGCACTACACTACTTCGTATGTTGCAAAAACTACCAATTGATCATGAATGGAATTCATTTCTTTCTCGGAAATATTGCAATGGAATCTTCAAAGTATAATCGTCTTGGATTATTTTATCTTAAAAACTCCGAGTTTGGTTTGGTTCGTTTTACAGATGCAGACTATTTATCAGATCCCCATAAATCTCGATCACAAAACTGGATATGTTTTACCATTGGAGGAACTGCGATCTCATGGCATTGTCAAAAGCAGACTTTAGTCGCCACTTCTTCAAATTATGCAGAAATTATAGCCCTTCATGAAACATGCAGAGAATGTGTATGGCTTAGATCTATAACTAAGCATATACAAGAAGCAAGTGGAATAGTCATCAGAAAAAGAACCAACAAGATTGTTTGAAGATAATGTTGCATTTGTTGCCCAAATCAAAGAAGGTTATATCAAGAGCGATAATAGAACAATGCATATCACTCCAAAAATTTTCTCTTACACTCAAAAACTCGAGAAGAACAAGGAAATCAATATTAAGTACATTCGCTCAAGTGACAATGCAACATATCTATTCACAAAAGCACTTCCAACTACCACATTCAGAAAGCATATTCATAGTATCAGAATGCGTCATCTACGGGACTTATGAAGAGAAGATTAGATATCTTTTCAAAAGGGAGTTTATGTTACTGTATTCTTTTTTCCTTTTCATAGTTTTAATCCCAATGAATTTTTCCGTGATAAGGTTTTTAACGAGACAGTACGTAACTTGTTAAATGTGATGGATACTTAAGAGGGAGTATTATGAAACAAGTGTCATTCTCCATCACACAACACATGTCAAATACACTTGTCTTTGAGAAAGACACTAATCCTTAAAGTGTAACAATTGTTATTACACATATTTATCACTTGTCAATACATAAACACTTTTTATTACATACTTAAAAGTGTATGACTAATCATCTTGTTTTTCCTCTATAAATAGGAGCTTGATTCAAGAAGAAATATGTAATACAAAGTTATAAAAATAAGAAATCAAAAGAATTGTTCTCTTCTCTCCCTTTTTTCATAAGTTTTTGTTTAGATTTTATATTTCGCAACAATTTGGGGCTTTAAATATTATTGAGTTTTATTATTTGTGCTTCTTATGTAGTTTCTTTTAAATATTTATTGCCAACAGAAAAAAAAAATATCATAACCAATATGATGACTATATATATATACTCCCTCTGTTCCTAGAAGAATGATGTTTTGAGTTTTACACACTAATTAAGAAAAATTCACTTTTATAATTTTTTTATTGTTTTATTATTAGTTTAATAATATTAATCCCACTTCTCTCCTTATTCTATTGGTCACAAATAAAAATAGTAATGATACTATTACAAAACATCAATCTTTGTGGAACAAGAAAAAAAACCCAAAACATCAAATATCTAGGAACAGAGGGAGTATATACATAGATGGTATATATATTAATATATATATTCTTTTTTTTTTGGATTATTTATCTAAGATTATGCATAATTTAAGTCAATAAAAATTATATTTTAACTATTTAAACAAGTTAATAAATTTTAATAATATTTTATATTTTCATTTAAGTTAAGATAATTTTGGTGATATTTATGATATTTTAAATTTATAGTATTCTAACTTTTTGACCAAATTTTAATAATTTAACTCTTTGATCAACTTAAAATATTTTGATTTTTTGTCAAGTAATATGAATAATATATCTTGTAATCAAACAGTTCAACTAAAGAACATATTCAACCAAATAAAGATTTTAGTTTTGAACACTTATTAAGCCAGATTTCCTACACTTACAATTTCTCATCATTTTGGTTGTTTCTATAATATTTATGGACTGCCATTCATGTTTATAACCTATGTGAGACTTTTAACATGTTGAGTAAATATACATATGATATGATGATTCATTTTTTAAAAATATTTCTATTAGAAAAAGATGAAAGGGTGAACATAATAATTTATATCGTACAATTGACTATCAAATCTTCATAATTCATTTTAGTTGACTGTTGACAAAAAAAAAAAATTAATTGACTGTTAAATAGTTTTTAGGATTTTATGGAAATTGATATTTCTATTTACATAGAATATTTTCTTAAATAACAATTGAAGAAAATAAAATTGTGTTAGTTTATTTATTATTGTACTCTTTAATCAATTTGTTTAAAGGATTACAACTTCGTGGCACTTTGTGTAATTTTTAACAATTTTATTAGTTTAACAGTATTAAAGAGCTAAGTACCTTTGGGAGAGCTTATCCATTTATATTGTTTAGAAACATATATACTTGGATTTGTTATTAATATTTATCTTAGTTTAATTATAGTTTAATTTCTTATAATTTTGTCTCAACAAAGGTAAGATGATTTATTTAATATTTACACATAACTTAATAGTCTGTACTATTGTACTCTCTGCATCACAAAACTAATGCTCAAACCATCGTAATGTATATCGTTATAAAAAAGTTAACATTTGATTCTAAATATGGAATACTGGATATATATAACAAATAATAATAGCATTCTACTTGAAACAAATGTACCACAAGTGGAGGATTTAGCAAAACTAAAAAAAAAAAGGTATAAGACAAGTTAATTACAAAATTGTATCAATTATATTTTAACCCAAAAAGGAAACAAAAGCTAAAATTATACAAATCATTGCATGTTTAATCATAATTGGCAGTTGTTTTTTGCTAGAATTGATTGACGATTTTGCAGAATTTAAGTTTTCAAAAAATTGAGTAGAACATTAAGATTTTGTAAGATATAATGTAAATTGCAAGGTAGTCTTCCTTAATTTGATTAAACAATTACAGATACATAAACATACATTAATTATACGGTGACTTATAAAATACAATTATCTGCCATAACAAGAAGTACCATTAGACTTTTTTTTACCGGTATCATTTAGACGTTTATGACAATAAAATAGAACAAGTTGGCGTAAGACAGAAGAATCTTTTTCTTGATGTTTTCTTCTTGGGTATTGTAATTAATAAATTACTACCATTATGATTAACCATATGCTCTGTACATTTCTACTCCCATTAGACTGAAATATTATATAATGATGCATAAAATAACTTTTTAGTACTAATACCACGCAACAACAAGAATTTGACGGTGTCTAAATTTCCACGAATATAAAAATTGGTTCAACAAAAATACATGAGTTTTTAGTAGATTGTTTTAAGCATACATAATATATATGTGTAGGTTTTAGTACTATATGGTAAATTAAAGGGTTTAAGGATTGCATTACGAAAATTTGTCTCGTTCATTTTTTCTTTAGCCCTAGTAGGTTGCATAGCTTCTATTTGGAACACTACTTATTGTAATGTGTTACTAGGCAATAATTTGACTAGTCAATCAATATCCATGTTTATTTAATCTATTATATCTAAATTTAAGAATCCCTAACCTTATATAAATATCTAGAACAAGCCTACTTATCTAATCTTTTTACAAAACACACATTACTATTTTATTCGCAATGCTTGGACCGATGATATGTAATAGTTTATAGTAGTTTTGTATCTTCCTCAATTGGTTAATGAACACCAATATGAGTCTTAAAACATCTACCCTACTCTCTTGTATTTGGTAGATCATAAGAGAAAGAAAAAAAAAGAATTAAAATTGGTGAGGATCATAGAGACGCTTGAGGGTTTAACCTAATTAAGCGCTTAAGCCAAGGAGATGACCAAATTAATAAATGTTTAAAGTAGGAGACACGGAAACAGCTCCCACGTTCCTCACTTTCTCTCTCTTTTTCTTCCTTCTATCTCTCATCTCACCAACACTAATAAACAACAACCAAGTTTATATGATATTTAAAATGTGTAAAAGAGTTATATCTCCGAGGAATAATCAAATATAAGTTTTTTTTTCCTCTCTCTCTCTCTCCCTTGTGATCCTCCATAAATCCTATCATCAGTACTCCCCTAAAAAATCCCTTTTCTCTTCCGAATATTACTCTTTGTAGTGAGTAAACTTTCCATCTCCCAAAGCTTACTTTGAGTTGTGTCCTCATGGTAGGTTAACTACTTCTTCAATTCTATACCATCTTAAGTAGTGAATCTATATCTTTCATCTCAGTTTCTTTACCATATAATTCTCAATCATCGTACCGAATTCTTTATATTTGTGGCTTCTTGGTACTTATTATAGATTTTAATGGTGGATGTAGGAAACAATTGAATTATGTTATGAACTTGTTTTTATTTATTTAAGCTTGTTTATCAAATAATTAATTTAGAAATTTTGTAAATCATGTGGTAGGGAATTCAGAAACCGGCATGGTTGGATGCGCTATACGCAGAGAAGTTCTTCGTAGGATGTCCTTACCATGAGACAGCAAAGAAGAACGAGAGGAACGTGTGTTGTCTTGATTGTTGCACCAGTCTCTGTCCTCACTGTGTACCCTCTCATAGATTTCATAGACTCCTTCAAGTTCGCCGTTATGTGTATCACGATGTTGTTCGGCTTGAAGATCTTCAAAAACTCATCGACTGCTCTAACGTTCAAGTAAGTAATCTATTATACATATATGTACGTATTATCTCATATCTATATATGTATATGATTGGATTGGTGGTTGAATTGTGGATAGGCTTATACAATAAATAGTGCAAAAGTGGTTTTCATCAAGAAGAGACCACAAAATAGACAATTCAAAGGAGCTGGCAACTATTGCACTTCTTGTGACCGAAGTCTTCAAGAACCTTATATCCATTGCTCCTTGGGTTGTAAGGTTATTTCATCCTAACTATTACTTCTACAAAATATTTGACTCAATTCTACTTAAGATATGATTCTCACTTAGCATTTATATTAAATTTATATTTATATACATGTAATAATTAAATGTTGTGATATAGTCTAACCTTTAGAGATGATTCGTTTCTACGATAGAAAGATAGAAACACATGTTCCCCTTTTAACTCGTCCGAAAATAGAAATACGAATACATCAATAGGATACTATAACAAGTATACTACCAAATACCCTGATTTTTATTTTTCAAACATACACATTTTTTATTTTATTTTTGGTTAAAATTATATAACCTGACCGTCCTTTAAAATGTTTTTAACCCGTAAATTTTGTTAGTTTCCGCAGATGAGAATCTCAAGAAAAAAAGGTTTTATAAAATAATCCGTATATGGCTCGATTTTGAAATCTTGTCCTTTTGAACTAATGTATTTAATTAAAAAAACATGAAGAAATTCTATAAAGAGGAGTCTAACTTTTTTTTTTTAAATAAGTCTATAACATCCTCATTGACCTTGCCGTTGGAACTTGGAACTATGTTTATGTGCATAAATACTCCCATATCATGTGAGCTAGTGGTTTGGTCCTAAGTGTTTTAAGACACCACCACACTTCAAATCGTTTCAATGTTTTACTTTGTAATATATCATGTTGTCAGAAAATACACATACATGTAGTCGTAAACATCCAAGCTTTTTGAGCATGTAGTAATTTAAAGTTGCAAGAGATATGATTATATAAAAGGTTTTTGTTTATATACATGTAGGTGGACTTTGTGATGAAACGTTACAGGGACTTAACCCCATTCCTAAAGCCATGTCACACTCTTACCCTAGGTCCTGACTACATCATCCCACAAGACTTACTGACAGATGATGAAGTGGCGGCCTACGAGACTCCTCGATCAACTGTGGTAGACGGTGATGAGTCCATGAGCTGGTCCTCGGCTTCCTCGGATAACAACAATACGGGTGCGGCTGCTGCTTATGCCGCGACCACAACCCATGTCGTGAGGAAAAAGCGGACCGGTTTTTGCCTTTGCGCCAAATCGGCTAATAGTTATAAAGAAGTTTCGGAGGATCCTGACGATATTTCTACTTGCATCAATCGGCGAAAAGGCGTTCCTCAACGATCTCCTCTCTGTTAACGTACTCTTTTATTTTTTGTTTTTGTTTTTTAATCTTCTTAATTAGTTTCTTTGCACCATATAGTCTTATATGTTACATGTATGGATTCTTGTCGTGCGGTCTCTCTAATAAAGTTTATAATCAGTTTTTTTTTTCCTTTGGTTGCGTAAAGATTAGTTTAATAATCTGTTTCGACGTGGATTGGACTTTCATTGTGTCCAATGGATTAGTTTGAACAAAGAAGACTAAATATCCGTGAAAAGCCTAAGCCAAAAAATTATTTTTATTTAAATAACTTTTGTATTCGGTCTCTTTTCCATATCTTTAGAATTGTATCTAAATGGGTTGAAGTCAATTTAATCTTTTTTTTTTTTTTTTTGGTATGAACAATTTAATCTTTCTTTGAAATCGTACATTTTCGGTTTTTATAACTTTAGATTTTTACTTCAGATTAAATAATAAGGAGAGAATCTGAAATATGAAATTGGATTTGTTTTGGGCAGCTATGGTGGTGACTCACGTGGCTCCTAATTCCGAGCTGTGGGATCTTTCATGCTGTTCTGATATTTTACTAATCAAATTTTTCATTATAAATATTATAAAAACTTGAAGCCACGAAATAGCTGAAAATATTGTATAATTTATTATTTATTCAATTTTATAAATTAACACTTATTTTTGTAAATTTATTTTTATTCAATATAATATAATTTTAATTAATTTTGCAAAAAAGAAATCTTAAATCTTGTCAGTTATTTGAAATAAATTCAGCAATAATTTCTAAATTTATTTTAAATATCGGATTTCCACCTGTAATGATACTTTTAAGTTATAAATGATGAAACCACCTAAACCTAAAATAGTTCCATCATCACATTTAAAACCCAATATAATTAGGAAAATTTAGAAAAAGTTCCCCTTGTGACATTTATGTAAATAATATACGTATGTTAAGTAAGTTTTTTTTTTTTTTTTTCTGTCAGCCAATTTTTCTATTAGATAAACATAATTCAATGTTTTGGGCATACATCACACGAAATATGAGAAGTTCTTCATTGATTTTAGCATGTTTAGCTAGTTGATCAACTTTAACATTTGCCTTCCTACTGATGTATTTAAAAGCATAAGAACTTTTTGACAAGGTCAAGATTTCGTCTACATATCATTGAATAGCTAGGTGCCTCAGTGGAGGGTGTCTCTATCTCTTAGAAGAGAGTTCCAAGCATCGAAAGAGTTCCTCGGAATCTCCAAATAAGGTTATATTTTTGTAGCTAAATCTTTTCATCTCAAGAAGAACTTCTCTAAGCGCAATGGCCACAACTTCTAGTGGGGAACCAGTGGCTTCTATTAATGTTGAGCCCTTCAGTATATCTTACCCTTGTGGATCATGTAAAGTCCATCCAATGTCAATTTTGCTATTTTGATATATCCATGAAGCATCAGTACAACAACACAAAGTTGATACTTGTGTTACTAGATGTGGAAAAGTATTTGGTAGAAGCTTCTCTCCCATTATTCGTGTCTCTTTATTGTGGTTTGTTACTAATTGTGCTTCTTTCCACATTAGATGATCTATCATTGTTTGGTGCATTATCTTAGGGATGCCCATCGCCTACTATGGAAAATCAAATCATTTCTTGCCTTCCAAATACGCCATATCCATTGAAACAGAAGAGACTTTCCTTCTTTTGATGTGCTTAATTGACTGATAGTACGCTTTGTAGATGTTCTACAAATTTTGATCAGAATTCAACCAACCTGCGGGAATATCATTATGTTCCAGCTCCCAAATCCTCTGTGAAATGAAGGGCATTATGTTATTAATGCTTTCCACCAAAAGTGTCTAAGGTTTGGAGGAGCATCGAGTTTCCATATAGTTGTACTCATACGATTTGTTTGAAGATATATTGATTATGATCTTGTATAGAAACTGGTTCAGTCAGTTGATGATAAACTGGTCCCGCAATATTCCGTTACTTAATATAAATGTCTTAATGATACAATTTGCAAACTTTTATAAATATTATTACATAATCAACAAATTTTAAAAATCACAAATTTTATAAACCAAATCGTTTCGCGGCAGTGGCGGATCTAGAAACAAGTTTTATAGGGGTTAAATTAATGCAAATTTTTTATGATGAACAATAAAATGAAAAATTATATGAATTAAAGGGGTTATTTGGAAGTTAGAACAAAAATTTATAGGGGTCAAACACTAATTTTAACTAAATATTTCCTCAAATTCAATCAAATTTACATTAAAAATAACTAATATATAAAATTTATAGGGTTCATGTGACCCCAATCATAGGTCCGATCCAAATGGGTAGGGCAGATGTGCGACCGCCGTAGGCTCATACCCAACTCTAAAAAATTTATGTTATAAAAAGGCCCATTTAATTTATTTTTTGTACTTAAAATGACCCAAATCATTTTTATTTTAAAATTATTCATTAAAAACCTACTAAAAATACTAAATTTAGTCCCATATATTTAAACTATTCATTTTTTTGTCAACAATAGGCCCAAACAATTTTAAAATATGTCCAAATATTCAGTTTTTTCTTTTGAAAAAAAATTAAAAGGTCCAAAAAAAAATTTTGCCCTAAGGTTTGTAAAAATGTTGGGCCGGGGCTGCCCACTCACCCCTTCTTACCTCCACTACTGTCTCGCGGTATACCGCGGATCAATCCTAATTCGTAACAATATTGCAGAGAAAATATGTAGAAACCGTAGATAGATTATATGTGGTTGTTATTTTGTTTCAAACTTGTTTTTTTTATAAAAGTTTCTTAGCTTTTAAGATATGTTTTAATTTCAAATAAATTAGTTTCAAACTTTTTTATTCAAATAACCGCTTCAGCTGCTTTCGGCTACTCCTTTCACCACTTTGCTAACTTCAGCCACATAGTATCTCTGATTTTTTTTTGTTTTCTGGGCTTGGGTTTTTATTGGGCAAATTTCTCGTAGGCTGGATCTGGGTTGGTTTTTTAACCCACATTAACATTGTTAGTCAGATTTATTTTAGGGACAAGCACCTTCAATATTACGGACTAAAAAGAGTTATATAAAAGTCAAGCAGCTTTAAAAGATCCCGAACATTTGTTAAAATTCCTAACCAAGGAGTAACTAGATAATATCACTCTCATTAATCAGTTTCTGCATAGCAAATCCTACTAAACCTACTAAGGTATCAAGCATACCAACCCAGATTGGCCATGCAATAACCCGGCTGAATTATTATTCGTTATCTACAACTTTTCTCCAGTACGATCCGCTCTTCAACCAGACTCCTGGGATGCATCTAGCATGGCCAGGTACTCATTTATAGCTTCAATTTCCTTGTCAAGATTGATGTCATAAGCCGACAAAGCATCAACCCTTGCAATCTCGTCTGCTATTTCATCTTCTATCTCAGAGTCCCGCTCTTCTTCCCCGACATCACTGGATGTACCTTCTCGGTTTGCAATGTCATCCGTTGTTTCATCTTTCATCTCAGAGTCCTGCTCTGCCCCACCATCAATTTCATTGGATGTGCTTTCTCGACCCCCAAAACCACTGCTTTCCGCACCCCCATTGTTTGTGCTACTTGTTGCATTTGTAGCAGAGGTAGTTCCTTGGTTTGCTTCTGATGCAGATAGTAGCCTTTGGATTATATCTTCTCGGTTGCCACCAGCTTCCAAAGCAGAGGTTGCTGCAGTGCAAACCAAAGATTTAATGGCATCTCATCAATTATCTACCATGGACTTTAACAATATAAGCAATTGCAGAAACTATCAGATGAGAAAAATTACCTCTTCCTCGTTCAAATCCCATAGAAACAAGTTCATCAACTGATATGCCTACTAGTTGTTCTTGTCGTTTTCTTTTCCTCGATTCAATGTAAGCCTGTATCGTCGAATTAACTTTTGGGTCTGTGAGTATATCAAGGGCCTTCTGAATATCGTTCTCATTTCTCCGGAGGGATTCAGCAGCAAGATCCCTCGCATATCTGCACAGGTAAGCGCTTTAAGTCATACTAAATGCTTAAACTAATCTGAAAAGTTTCAAATTCAGATATCCAAACAAAACATTTTCACTGGTAAGCATTGAAAAAACAACTAATTAATGTTAGTTCTTAAGCTAAAGGACTCATGTTAATACAAGGGAAAGCTTGAAGGATTTCTAACAAACATCGAAAATCTCATGGTTTATCTGGAAAGGTTAGCACTTTCACATAATTTTCTTGTTCCTTGTTTACCATTGTTAGAAAATAATTAATTAACTACGAAACTTACAGTTTACAGTTTGTTACTTACCCAATAGAGACGAGCCTCTCAAGCATCTGCATATCAACAGCTTTCTTCATGGGTGTCACTCCATACTTTTTCTGCTCACTGAAATACCAGAGCTCATAAAGTCACTACAGAGTTAAATATCATAACTAGGATAATTACAGTAGTAAAAAACATACAGTATTTCTTGTTGTCTCTGGAGATCCTGCTCCCGCTTTTGGGCTCTTTTTGCCCTCTCTTCGATAAGAAAATCGACAGAACTTGCAATATCCTGATTGTTCAGTCGCAAAGCTCTTTTAGCATCCTTCTCTTGGAAGCCCATACCCATAACTAGCGACAGTGTTTCATCGGGTATTTGTAGCTGCATCACAACGCACAACAGTATTAACTCTGCAACAATTGAATATCACTAAGTGCTATATTATCCCAGTACAGCTCACTGACCTGCAAGAATTTCGCATGGGCAGACTTCAGTGCATTCAAGGCTTTATCATACTGACCAGTGTGATATGCCACAACACCTTCTAGTAACTCCAGTCTCAAATATCTAGCAATTAGAAAAACAAAATATTTCACTCTGTATTCCTAAATTGAAAAACAAAAACAAAATATGAAAACGAACTCACAGTGCCATCTCTGGACTTTGCCCTGCTTGAAGGAGTCTCACACGAGAGAGATCCTTCCCATGAGCACGCTCGAGTCCCTTCCTTGCTCTCTCAAGGCGAACGCCAGCATCTGAAAGGCATTTGACATCTCGGAGCAAGAAATAGCACCAGACAATGTCTATTTCCATCATAGGGAGGTTGTCAACAAGCTGTAAGAATATAATACAGCCATGTGAAAGATACAAATGAGGTTAATTCAGCATCGTCAAGACTCAGAAAACAAGCAAAATATAACACAAGCTGCGAGTTTAGATAACAGTTCAAACCAATAATACCCATTGTGGTAATACAGCAACTTCAAATATGAAATTAATTCAAAGGAGAGAGAACTAACCTCAAGAATCTTGGGATCACAAAGCAAGAATGATTCCTACGAAACAATCAAACAAAAATTACGAAGCTGTTGCAGAACCATAGAAGCTGATTACGAACAGTAGCAACTAACCTCTGCCATAGCAAGCACTTCAACAGCATCAGAATACATTTCCATCTCTATAAAACTTTTTGCCTTTGTATGTAACATAAGACCCATCATTACAGCACTGTGGAACACAAAAAGAAAAAAAAAAGAATCTCATAAGCATTAAAATTTGGGTGGCAGTTCCATGCTCCAACCTGACTAAGCAATACCTCTGATCAGTCTCAGTTCCAAACTGTACTTTATGACCTCCTTGATCTTCAAGCTCTATGTTATAGTCTTGGATCGGTAACGAACCATCAGCATGTCTCTTGGACAAAGCTGTTGCTGCAGCTCTACAGCAATCACCAATCATTAGCCATGGAAGGAAAAAACAGAGATGATCTCGATGGAGAAATTCGAAAAGACTTACTTGACACGAGAGAGACGACGAGACCTTTCTTCTTCAGCCATGATAGACTTGCCTTCTTCGGGAGCAGTACCACGACTTGAGAGGATCTTGGAGTTTTCTTTAATACCTAATTGCGCAAGTGTTAGAGTAGCATCGCCGTCGTCTTTGAGGATTTTTCCGGCGAAAATTAGTTTGATTGATTCAGGATCAAGTCCTGATCGCTTAGCGACTTCGTCTCTCAACATGTGTAGAGTCCAATTCTCGAGTTCTACTTCAATTAGACCTCCCCATGTACCAGCAACCTTGAGTTTCGCCATTGATGAGCAACTAGGTTTTCGAGAGAAGTTGTAAAGTTTACTTATGTTTATTAGTCTCCGAGACTAACTTTATAGAGATATTTAAGATTTTCTCAAATCTTTTCTATATCTTTTATTGATTTTTTTCATCAATTACTGTAAATATTTTTATTAAAATATTAAATGATTTCTTATTATGTTTTTGGGACAGTTATAACTTACAAGATTTTGATATGTGTCAATCAACTTTTAAATTTAGCCAAATAATTACTCAATTTCTTCATTAACCACAACTAGTCATCATCATTATTCGGTTCGACATTGGTTCGGTACTTTCAGATCTTCAATTTAGCCTTTTCAGAATTTTGGTCGGTTCTTCTCAGTTTCGGTCAATTTAGTTCTTTGAATGAGTAACGGTCTAGGACCAAACCAATTTAAGGTATTTTTGGTTTCAGTTCTAACCAAAAAATTTCGGGTATTTTTGGATATTTCGTGTAGTTTTTGAATATTTTTTGAGGTTTTCGGATATTTTTTTGGTTCAGACATTTGAGTATTATTCGGTTTTTAGGTAATTTTTGTTATTTGGTATAAAAATATAAAAAATTTAGAGTAAATTTGGAAATATACCCTCTTTTTATTTACACTTTTGAAAAATACCTTTTTCTTTATTTTTACTTTTAAATATGTAAAATCAAACTTAATAACAATTAATAATATCTATATTTCAAATATCAAATCAATTTATTTGTAATAATTAAATATTTAATTTTTACAAAGTTTTAATATATCTAAAAATTCCAAAAAATTATTATCTTAAATATTCAATGAATAACAACATTCTACCGACATTAAGTTATGATTTTTTTTAAGTCATGTGTTATTGTTATGGTGCAGATTTTGATGATTCATTATTATTGAAAACATATAATATAGTTTACTTTCCAAAAAAATTCAAAGAGGATTATTGAATAGAAGCAAAATTTGGTGATATGTTGAGCTAAAAATATGCTTGGAATGTTGGAGATTATTTTATTTTATATAATATAACAAATATTAAGGGATAGACTTTATAATATTTTTAGATATTATCTTGTTGAATTTTTTATATATAAAACTAATAAATCAGCTTTGTATTAGAAAGTATATATATATATAATTAATATTATTTCAAATTTAGTTAATTTTTTTTCTAAATTCGATGTTAGTTATGATTTACTAAAATATAGCTTTAAATTTAAATTAATACAAATTGTCATTTTACATATAAAAGATTGTAATTTTCATTAAAAATAGAAAAAAAAAAAGTATTTTTCAAATCATAACTCAAAAACAGGGTACTTTTCAAAATGACCCAAAAATTTAGATATATAATTGTATTTTAGATATTTTGGAATCTTCTCAATTCAGTATTGGTTCGATTTCGATTATTTTGGTTCTTAAGTTTAGTATACATTCGAATAACACAAAGCCTTTGACAGGTCCAAAACACTCTCTCCTCTCTCTCTCTTCTCAACCCTAGCTTTAGATCAAAGAGAGTGGCTCCTCCTCCGTCAACTTTGTCGGTGCTTGTGTGACCCCTCCCTCCTTATTTCTCTTATTGTTCTTCATCGTCGGTGTAGGGTCAATTAGAAGTAGTGGTGGTGGATCACCTTTCTTCTCTAGCGGAGTGAGGCATGGTAATTCAATGCAAATCGGTGGCTAATTCTCGGTGGTCTCGAGATGGTCTTTCTTGGTTATGATACTGGTACAAGACGCCGGAGTCGTGGAGGAGCTATCTCACGGCTCGACTACAAGGGTTTGAGGTTGTGGTCTGCTGCTGAGGTAAGTTTTCTCCTGACCATATCTGATGTTTGGTTGGTATTGATGAGTTTTGTGATGGTGACGGCGCCGAAATTAGATGGTTAGTTTTGTGGTCGCTCTGGTTGATACGTTGGTGATTAGAGAGTCAAGGGCACAGCTGTATGTGGGCTGATCTATTTAGGAAATCTTGCTCCGAGTTTGGCTTGTCGTTGGAATCGTCTTGATACCAGATTCGTTTACGCCGGCTGAAGTTCTCGAAGATGTCATCATAGCTGCAAAGGAGTTGATTTGTAAACGCCAGATCTGGTAGATGGGATCTTTTGTGGTCGTTGCGCCGTCATGTTCAGATCTCTTTTTTTCCGGCGAAGTCGCCAGCAGTTTCTTGCCATTTTTTATAACCATTGTTTAATTTTTCGTCAAGAGCAAGAAATCTCATCTACTATACATTTTTGGAGCAGTTTTAAGGGATCCTAATCGGGTCGGATTTTGTTTCAATTTTTACCCGGAAATCTTCAATCGGATCTTTCCTTATTTTTGACAAAATTAAAAAACGAAATTAATCAATAAAATCTAAAAATATATATTTTCTCAACTAATTACTATACCTAAACTATTTATTTATGTCATATTCTTTACGATTTTTATAGATAATGAAATCAAATATGATGATTTAATGCTAATATAACAATTTTGAGCTAATTTCCTAAAACATCTCTACCTAATTTATTTTTTTTATATATTTTTTTTTGTTTGAATGTGTAATTAATTAATCAAATGAGAAAATATGTACAGAGAGTTCAAGAGAATAGCAAAACAGAGTATAAGCGTTCCATAACAAATACGTAAACAAAAAAGGAGCAACAGCGGCTCCCGCTTCATGTACTCGCAGATGATCGGGCCGTGACAGCAAACCATTGCTGAAGAAGTGTTCGTAGCTTTGGTCGGGTCATGTAGTCAAGAGAGGTGATCCGATTTCGGATTAACTTCTCCGCTCGCTTAGTGATCTGAAGGATGGAGGAGTAACCGGTTTGATGAATCCTCACATTTCTTTCTTTCCAAATTAGATAGATTGTAGTCTGAAAACATAAACGGAGGAGGATATCATGAAGATGATTTCCAGTTCCTCTCACCACTTGTGTCAACGTCACCTCCCAATCTGGATCCTCTTGGTGATGTAAAAGGGAACTCGTTAGAGTTGACCAGACATTAAATGAAAATGGACAGGCGAAAAATAGATGATCACGAGATTCATCCGGTTCGCCACATAAAACGCATGGCTGGATTGCTCCCCAGACCCGCATGCGTACACCCGTGGAGAGACGGTTGCGAACCGCTAACCATGTGATGAAACTGCAACGAGGGGTACGCTGTCCAAACCAAACTACCTTACTCCAACCTAACTGAGGAGAGACTGCTCGAATCTGTTCCCAAGTGCTGGTTGTCGAAAAATGCCTTTTATAATAATTGGAACCATTTCGCCAGAAAAAACTCATCTTGGCCAATTGAAGTAGGCGGGGGATGAGCTCTAATCTGGTCTAATAATGGTGCCAAATGTGAGAGCCTTGTCTGTCGTAGTCGCCAGCCCCTCGAGTCAAAAGCCTCTCGGACCGATGCTTGTAATGGTATTCCAAGAGTTCTCGGCCCCGATGGACCTGTTATATCTAGAATTCGTCCTACGGGTAGCCAACTGTCATACCAAAATGATGTAGAGCTACCACTTACTTGTCCATGATAGCAGTCGAGACCGGATCTTATCAATTAGAGGAGCATAATCATGCGCAGTCATTGATTTTGTTGTGAGAGGAAGTCCTAGGTAACGAATGGGGAGCTGATCCACTTGTAGGCCGTGTGAAATAGCCTCATTTATGAGAGTTTGTTTGTCCCTACCTCCAACGAATAAAGTTGATTTTGTAGCATTGATGTGCAGACCAGAGATTCGTGAGAACTCTTCAAAGACTTTGAGTGTTTTCCGGAGAGACTGAGGAGATCCGTCAGAGAAAACTAGTATATCGTCAGCGAAAGTAAGATGTGTAACACTCACATGATCACAGCGAGGATGCTTCCCGATTCTCCCATCTCTTGCTGCCTTATTGAGGAGACATGACAAGACATTCAGCGCCATGACAAAAATATAAGGCGATAAAGAACAACCTTGGCGAATTCCACGATGACTTGCAAAGAAACCCTCTAACTCTCCATTTACCACCACTGAAAAACTCGTTGTGGATATACAGCCATAAATCCAATGAATAAAAAACTCCGGAAAACCAAGAGCTCGAAAAATGCCAATAATGAACTTCCATTGTAAAGTATCAAAGGCTTTAGAGATATCAAATTTTACTGCACAGCGTGGCGAAGGCGAGTCCTTATGGTAGTCCTTTACAAGCTCAGTCGCCAAGAGGACATTTTCAAGCAGCAACCTCCCTTGGATAAAAGCACTTTGATTGGGCTCAATGAAAGCCGGCAGAATGAGCTTCAATCAATTTGCCAAAATCTTTGACACAACTTTATACAGTCTATTGCATCAAGCAACTGGCCTGTAATCTTTCATCATTGATGGCGTCGAGTCTGGATTCTTTGGTATAAGAGCCAAGAGTGTCGCATTAACAGCCCGCGGCATGAGCCCATACTGAAAGAAAGATTGTACCGCCACCGTGAAGTCTGATCCAATTATGCTCCAAGCAGCCACGTAAAATTCCTTAGTAAAACCATCTGGCCCCGATGCCTTTCCTGAAGGAAGAGAGAACAAAGCTTTCTCTGTCTCTTCATTGGTGACTGGTAAAGTTAAGTGAGCATTATGATCCAGAGTGCATCTATATGCTAGCAAATCTGTGAGATATTCCGGAGGAACATCAATAAAGTCTGCATCCTTTTGCTGAAGAAACTCTCGAAAGTGTCTTGCAGCCTCGATCTTGATGTCGGTCGGATTTGTGATTACTGAACCATCTGCCAGAGTAAGACTCCGTATAGCATTCTTTGAAGCATTTGACTGAGCTACCCGATGAAAATAAGATGTGTTCTGATCCCCGCAGCGTAGCCACTGAATGCAAGATTTCTACTGGTTGAATTGCTCCTCTAGACTAGCTAGTTTATTCCATGTGTCTGAAGCAACAGAGACAGCCTCAAGATTTGCTGGAGTTGGATCAGAGAATGCGACAGTTTGCAGGTCACAAAACCTATTATACGCCTCCGCCGCTCTCTTTGGAAGATCACCAAATTTAGTGCGATTTAAGGCTCGAAGATGAGACTTTAAATTTTTCAACTTCTGGTGAAATAACGACAAAGCAACACGAGAGTGGTACAAAGGCTGTGTAGCTGACCAGACCTCAGCCACTGTTGGAAGGAACATCGAGTGAGAGGCCATAAAATTAAAGAATTTTAATGGCTTACGATGCCCCGCATTTAGGGACGACAAATGGACTATGCAACGTGAATGATCAGAGATCCCTCCCGCTTCAAAGGAGGCATAAGAGTGCGGGAAACAAGACAGCCAATCTGGGGAAATGAGGGCTCTATCCAGCTTCTTACCGATGGGATTTTCATCCTGGTTGTTTATCCAAGTGTAGCCAGGACCCGTAGCAGACAGGTCTGACAAGGTACAGTAAGAGACAGCGTTTTGAAAATCTCTCATTCCTCACAAATTGAAAGTATAGTCCATTGCTCTTGAGTGATCCGATATCGACAACACTTCATTAAAATCCCCCACCACAATCCAGGGAATTCCAAGTGGAAGAATAGAGTCATTAATATGGCGGAGGTCAGCCCAGAGAGCATGGCGATCTGAAGCAAAATTTGAAGCGTAGACAAAAGAACATATGAACTGCAGACCAGAACCAACCACAAGCACCGAACATGTGATGTGTTGTGAGCTCTTTAGAAGCGTAGTTACCACCACATCGCTCGACCAAACAACCCAAATACGCCCTAACCGATGATAGTCATAATTGGTAACAGAAGCCCAGCCAGGGACAATGGACTACATAATTAAATTTGAGTGACATTCTTGAACTCGGGTCTCCACAAAACTACCAAAAGACGGTCGCACCGACTGAATCCAATTACGAACAGTTTCATGCTTGCGAGATTGATTAAAACCCCGCGTGTTCCATGCAAAAAAAGACGTCATCACTTCCATGAGGAAGTATGTTTTGCTTTTCCACCTTCTTTCCGATTCACAATGGGTCGAGGAGGGCCTCTAGAACGGCTGCGATGTTTAGTGTTTCCCTCCTTGTGCTTAACTGTGATAGTCTTCATAGTTTCTGGATCAGCTGTCATGTCCTCTTCTTCACCCTCCGATTCTTTTATCTCACCTTCTTCACAAGTTTCAGCTTGGGAGCCTTCCGCAAGCTTTGGATCAGGGATACTCTCTGCTACCCCTCCATCTTCATCTAAGTTCTGCAAAATTCCAAACCCATTCGGGGATACAGTACCATTCAATTTTTGAGGTTTGTTGTCTTGGCGTAGAGGAGAGGAGTGACCCTTGCGGGTGACTTCCGTCCACTGTGTCTCAGTAGACTGCTGGACTGTTTGCTCTGTTTCTGTAACAGTCTTTTCCGGTGCATTCGCAGGGGAGATTTGGGCTCCAAGGGGCGCTGAATTTTCCAGATCCTTTAGTAGCTCCTGGGCAAGCTCCTGAACTGAGATGACTTTCCCACTTTTGTTATCTGTTCTCGAATTTCCTTCACTTTTCTTGCTGAGATTCTGATCGGATAGTATGGACACCTTCCTTGTACAATCTTTACCCAGATGTCCCCATTTAGAGCATATATTACATCGAGGCGGTAACCAGAGGTAGCTAACTGAGACCCGAACATCTTCACCATTTGTATCCGGAAAACATATCAGTTCCACCAACGGCTTTTGCAGGTTTACTTCCACTAAGATCCTAGCCATGTCAAGTCGAATACATCTCTCTGTGTTGGGATGAAGCTTGACAAATTTACCAGTAGTACTAGACAAAGAAACTCAGACCTTCATGAGAGTAAAGGTGGGCGGGAACATCCTTCAGGTCAACCCACAATGGCATAGCAGAGAGGTCCGGAGGAGCATGCGCTGTTGCCGGGTTCCATTCTCGAATCACCAATGGGACGTTTGCGATATGCCAATACTTACGCTTCAAAACATGTTCATGAATCCTGTCACTTTCAATACGAATCAGGACTGTTGTCTTATTGATAAACTGAACATCAATCTTTGTAGATTTCTCTAGAACTGTCCAGATCCGATTCACAGTAGCATGAATTGATCCAACATACGGAGCCTCTCCCATGAAGTAACCTACCACGAAACACTTCCATAAGGGATTTGAATCCCCCATCACTTCCTCTGGTATTTTCACCTTCGCAACACCATTAACCACTTCAAAATCAGGCTGGAAATTTTCAATCGACTTCGCATTTCCCTGAACCATCGAGACCCACGAATCCTTATGGGAGGGCGACGCGGACTGAGACATGATAACATGAGACGAGGGAGGGATGACTTGTGACGGAGAGGAGGTCTTCACCGGACCAGGCGGCTCCATGAAGCCGGCGGAGGCTTACCTTGCGTAGGAAGATTGACGGCTAGAGGAGACCCAGTGCGGCTAGGGTTCAAATTGGTCTTAGTTACTTATCACTTTCGTGGATCAATATTTTTGTTGAGCTCTTAAGTGTGAATCGGGCCTGATCCTCTCTACCTAATTTAAACATAAATATATGATTCTCATTTCACTTTTATGTGATCTTATATTTATATTATTTTGAATTATTATAAAATATACATAGTTAATAAAAATTTTAGATTTTTTTTCTGTATATGCTATGATTCAAATTTTTTAAAACGGGCATATATTACTCAACCGATGAAGAAAAAATTATGTGTACAATCTAAAGTACATTTTTGAAGAACAAATTTGCGCATTTAATCAGGTCGTATTTTTTTTTACTCTGACCCAGAATTGAGTCATTCGGATATTTCCTTAATTTTAATTTCTACAATTATCCAAAACAGGACAATATACCACGGGTGAAATCATAAAATTAACAAATTGAAATACAATTATTTAGTATTTTAAGATACAATTATAAATTATTTTTACGGATTGGTCCAAAAACACACACTAATTTAAAAATATATATATTATGGAAACCATTTGTAAGCAAACTTTTAAATTGACTCGAATTATTTATCTTTTAAATAAAAGTGTTATTAAAAGAAATAACAAAATAATGTTTAATTTTACGGGACGGGATTATATGGTAGGACGGGTTTGGATTGATATTAATACGGAACAATATATCACGGGTGAAATCCTAGGATTAACAAATCAAAATACAATTATACAATATTAAACACTAAACAAAATATATACAACTTAAATTTCTATTTTTTAGTTACAATGCATGTGACCCGCGGTGTATAACAAAAAAAATTATATACAACAAATGCATCAGTTTATAAAAAGATAAAAAAAATCAAATAATTAACCTGCGGGTCATAACCTACTTTGAGTAGATATTAATAAAACTATTTTAATTTAGTATACATTCAGTTAGTGCGTCAATTTTGGTTCGGTTTGGGTTCCTCTTTGTTTGGTTTGGTCTCAGTTTGGTACATTCGAACCAGTTTTTTTACCCAAGACTAACCAAAACGGTTATTACAGTATCTAATTTTGGCCAAAATTGGGTCTGATTAATGATAGTGACACAAAGCGATACGTAATTTTTTTGTAAAAATAAGCATTAAACAATATGAAAATACTTTTAAAAAGTAAAAAATATATGTAGGAAATAACAATACCAAAAAAATGGAGTCTCGATCTTGGTATTGTTTTTGTGTTTGGTTTCTTGGTAACTCACCATTTACCTTTATTATATAGTCTGAACTAGTTCACATGTTCCTCGGGTCAAAGTAATCCTTGGATTGATTTACCACTCTTAATTATAAACACAAAAAGACTCAGCAAAATCAATGATCCCTTCATTCTTTTGTTGTATTATGCTACTATCTACCATATCTGGCAAAAAAAAGAATGGTTGCAAACATCAGAAATTGGTCTATACGATCCAACATATTGTCCACTTGGTGAAGGAGACAATCCTTTTAACAGATTTTCGAATCCAGCAAATTTGGAGGTATTGTCACTATGTGGATTCATCTTGAAGGCTACTGTTGTAACTCTCAACTACTTTGTTTTACATATTACACATTTGAACTTCTGTTTCGTCTCTTCCGAAAACAATTTGAAAAAGCTTTATTTTAGTTCAATAAACTTCACATTTAATAAAAAAAGCATATATCATTGTCACTTCTTCAGCATTGTACCATGCATTTAGGTCACTGGTTCACAGCGTACGCGTCATAGATGGGCTCAAATTCGCAAACTATCCTTGTAGCAAACTTCAATTGAAGTTGTTTTGGGATATGTCAATTATCCTCAGTTTTTTCAACGAATGAAAATCTCTATGAGAATATACAGAGCCGTGGAATCTGTTTTCTCGCAATACCATAACTTGCACGTTGGGAAGACGCTCAATCCAAAATGGATAGGTGTCACAGATCTTGTTTCCCTCAACATCTAGTAATTTTGTGGAAACGACAATTTCCAAGAGACCTTGGAAGCCTTCTAGCTAGTGATGTTATTTTGATTGAAGTCAAGTATAGTCAACGAGGAGTTTCCAGAGAACACATCTGCAATTCTCTCAACGAGGTTGTTGTTGCGGACAACCAATCCATCTAGCATATCTGGGAGGCACTTGGGAATTATACCATTGAAGTTGTTGTCGGAAATATCGAGAATGCAAGATCTTTTGCATTGCACAACCAAAGAGGTATATCCCCGTCAAACTTGTTATTTAATGCATGTATCCCCTGATTTTTGTTGGTAGAACAAGAAAAGGTCTTCCCATCATTAAAATCCTAATCACATAATTAGCTTTCGGCGGACGGTCGAAACCACTCAGATTGTTGTGAGACATATCCACCACAGTCAACTGAGGAGAATCCTAAAACCATTGCACACTTTTTCTTGGAGTTTATTCATGGAAATGTCTAAACTCCCCATATTCGAATTTTAAGAAATCTTGGAAATTCGTTGGGATTGCAGTCTCTCAAGTTTAACATCTTCAAAGATGTTGGAAAGACATTATCTAAACTGGTACTAAGCAATGATAAATTATTCCCGGAAAGACTTAAAAAACTCCAAAGATTTGAACGGCAAGAAAAATGAGTTGAGTGGATAGTCTATATTTAGATGGTCTAGGGCGAGCTCTGCATGTGTAATGATTTTGAGAAAAATTCTAGGATTCGACCACCAAAAAGATTATGGGAAAGGCCCACAGATTCAAACTTAGAGAGGATAATGAAGAAGAATACAGAATTTCAAATGGGTCTCTGAAATGGCTATGAGATAAAGAAAGGGTTGATAGTGAAGGCATGGTAAAGTTATTACTCGCAAGATTTCTTATGACAAGCTTGGTTTGATTGGTAATAAAAAAGAGGAAAATCACCAGTGAACCTGTTTCTGGCAAGAACCAATTCGGTGAGGCGGGTTTGATTTGTGAATATAACTTCCCCAATAAAACCACAAGATTCAAGTCTCAAATCTAAGACTTCGAAATACTATCTTACAACAACATCATAAGTTTATAGAACTATCTTATGTAGATGTGATATTTACACATTAAATAAAATTACATCGATTTAAGGAAACTACAAATTTCGCAATTATTTTTTTGCAATATTAGAAATCTCAGTTAATGACTAATTAAAGAGGATTTAGGTTAAGATATCTTTCTGTAATCTTTCAAGGAATATTCTTTTGGCTTTTCATTAACTTTTATTTTGAAAAGATTCGAAAAAAATATACTGATTTAAACTTGCACAAATCTAAAAATTAAAAAGATCTTAACAAAATGCAATATCTAATTCTACTAAATCAACAGTCACTTTTTCGATAACTGACGCATTCTCTGATTGACACATCAGCTTACACCAATTTTTTTACTCTTTTTTTTCTAATGGAAAGATTTTGTTTAAAATTTAAAAAAAAAAAAAACCCTTGTCGTTCACAATCTTCACAAAATCTTTTTTTTTCCAGTTTTTTTCTTTTATTAGAGATTCTCTTTTGCAACTGTTCCCTCTTTTTACCCCCACACATTCCACGATCTCTATTTCTTCTCTTATTCGACTAGAAGCTAGTTATTTTCCAAATCCGTATTAGAAATTTTCTTTCTTTATTCTTCATCTACATATGTGATTTTTTCAAAAAGTATTTCTGATGCATCCAAGTTTTGCTTTGATTACAATCTCTCACTTGTAGTATCGTTTTTCTCTCTCACTACAAGTTTTTTGTGAAATCAGATAAAAAGTTATTTGCTTTTTTACTTTCTATCATTATTCTCTTGCTTGATTTTCTCTGTAACTCAAACTTATTTCTCTATTTTTGCCAACAATCTTATTTTCAGGTTTCTCATTTCAAGAACTTTGGATTATACATGTGAAGGAAGATTAGTGTCGCATGCTTATATCTCACACATAAATAAGGTATTTTTCCCTGTGCATAGCACGGGCTCCATACTAGTATTTACTATATTACAAAAAAGAAGGGTGAACGACCTGTGTCCCCCTAGTAAGTTTCATATAGTACCATAACAACACAGATTTCGGGTCTCGTCTCCAGTCCACACAAAACGAAAGTTAAACTCCAGTTTCCCCCTAAATTGAAAGTTCGAGACCTCAGTCTCCATAATTTCAAATTTCGTGGTTTATCTTCGGTTTACTGTGCCGAACCCGATGCCAAACCAAAACCCAGAATAATAAACCGATTTTGAACCCGATTCGAGTTATCCCCAAATTGAGAAATCTTAGAACCCTAATTTCGATCTTATAGTATAATTCTATAGCCATGTTCATGAGATTTTTGTGAGAAAGAAAAAGCTCTTTTGTCGTTTTTCTTATCTTTTGCTCTTTTTTTGGCTGTCAAAAATCAGAATTTTTTTGTCAAGGTAATAAGTTCTTGAGATTCTGAAAATTCAAAGAAGAAGAAGAAGAAATTGAAAATGGGTCATTTCGCAACAGTGTGGGATCAAAAAGAAGCAAGTGAGATAATCAAAGATTGGAATGGCGTTGACCAAGTCCTTCTCAGAAACCCACATGGTGCTTCTGCCAAGGTCTTCAGTATTTTCTCCAACCTTCTTCTCTGAATAATTCGAGCTTTTTTTTAAAACCAATTTGGGTTTTTGATTTTTTGGTTTTCCAGATTAGTTTACATGGAGGACAAGTGATTTCATGGAGGAATGAACAAGGCGAAGAGCTTCTTTTCACTAGCAACAAGGTATGCAGACACTACAAATACATTGTGAAGAAGCTGAAAATCCAAAATTTGATTTTTAAATTTTGTTGTAAATTTGTTAGGCTATATTCAAATTTTGTTATAGATCTTGGTGTTCTTCAACCATCTCCTATTCCATCAATCTTTTGGCATCCGGGCCGTTACTAATATGTCGCCTTTCTCGTACTCGATCGTCATCATATCCATGTCTCTTTACCATTTCTATAATAACCACATCTAAAAAAGAAGACAAAATGATGAATAACAA